TATTGTGTTCAAATTACAAATGTTCAATTTACCTGAGGTCTGGAGATTAAGATTTTGTGAGTAGTGTCATGCTGGTATGTCGATTTTTATCCAAGCTTGAGGTTTGTGGCAGAGGGAACTATGTGTCTGGCCAAAATAACCTGGTATGTTTTGGAGTTAATGATTCCCCCATAGATTAGCAAAGGCCCCAGGACCTGTAAATGCAAAACAACACCCACTATCAACACCAAATTGCATAGTGGGCATGAGTATTTTCTCAACAAAAGGCTTGCCTTTTTTACACCAAGCATAATGTGGATGAGCATGTCCAAAAAGCTCATTTTTGTTTTATTTGACTATATGATATGGTTTCAGGTGTCATTCAGATGTAATCTGTCAAGTTTGACTAACCTCTTTTTGTGGTTCACCCTCAGCATTTTACTTGCATCCCAGTAGGCTGCAAGTACATCATGCAGGCGTGAATAGTAGGCCGTGACACTATGGTTCCCCGAAGGAGCCAGATTTTACCACAGATCTTCAACGTTGGATTTACAGCTGTCTCACAAACCAGTTGTCTCACAGTCCGTGATGGGAAGACACACTACACAAAGATACACTTGCGTCCTTTCCCTCAACTTGTAAGTCAATGGACCTTATGCCTGCAGCCTTTGGAAGACTACTGAATGTCTTCTGTGTGCTGTATCTCTTATTATAACCCTAGGAAGCAAGAAACATTGATAATGATTCCATTGCAATTCCAAAGAGAAGAGTGCTATCAAAGATTTGTTTTTGTTGGATTTTGGTTAAAAGAATAATGAGCGGTATGACTCTCGTGGTATGGTTTATGTATAACAAGACTTTGCCCTGTGAAATGCTATAACAATTACACTCCAACAGTTGTAGATTTTTTTAAGCAAGACAAGTTATCCCGTTCAAGTATATTCTTTTATATGATGTTTTTGTTCTATTTGATCTGGTATATGAATAAATCTGAAAGGATCTGTATATAAAGAGATCTAATTAACAATCATACAATCATACAAAATAACAGTGCATACGAGAAATCCAACAGATGAAAAACTGTTGGAGGATTCTGTCCCTTTGAATCCACCGACACCCAGAACTGCCAGCGTGGTGGTAAACAATAACTTCATTCACCCTGAAACACTTGAGAAAACGTGCATTGCTGCACAGCTGAAAATAGGGATGAAGAATAGAATAAAGCTGGGCTGAGATAAAACACAAGACAGCTTGAATGGCAGCAACTGAACAAGCTATCTGAATCTCGGACACATTTTAGTCTTAAATCCAAAACAGACTAGCATCGAATAAGAACAATAGTAACTTTGGCGTTTGAAATTGCCAATCATTTTTCTTTTTGTATCCTTCCAATTTGAAATGTGACTTAATAGAGGGTGGCCAGTACCAGCTCTGGGTGACCGGACCAACTATAGCAATACGTTTACACAAAAAAACAAAACGCACTATCACTATGAACTCCTTCAATTCAATATAGCAAGACATTAGAATCAATAATTCCTTCACGTGCATATCTGTTACATATTATATCATGTTACTTACCTTTTGAATCTGACTCTCTTTATGTTGCTATATAACAACTGGCCCTAGTATCGAAAAGTTTAGCAGTACTGTGTAGTTAAACTGCAGGAAACGCAGTAGATTCACAAACAGTCAACAGAAGCAGTTTCACAAACCCCCCACACCCCCCTGCCTCAGAGTCTTACAAACAGCACAGCATGAAATGTGGAGTCGGGCTACAACGTGTCAACAGGAGTAGCCTTCGTTACATTAAACTTTGGTCTTAGCATGTGAGATTTCAGCCCAAGGAGCAAAAACCACTTATTTAGAACTCCACAATGGTATGACTTCCTATACTTACACAGGCCTTGAGGCAGTGTGGCACTTTTTGATGGGTTGCCTGACAACCAATGCCATAATATATGAATACCATATTACGTAACATTTCATTTCTTACACACAAGCTATTAATTTACAATTTACATTACACGCCTACTTTCTGCTTTTTCCAAAACTATTTCCCATGCTGTATGAAAAGTATTTTTTTAAAATAATAAGCATGACAGATAAACTGTGCTATAATAGCAAACATCACTGAAAAGTCAGTTGGTAAAAAGATGAAAAGGATAAAGACAGGAAGTAAAGACTTTGTAAAAATAAAAAAATGTGAAAGTAAAAAATATAGATACCAACGGATTTAAAACAACCTTATGAATAAAATCAAAGTATGTGAATATAAACACAATCTTCTTCCTTTGTTTAAATCAGGAAAAGTGCTATATTTCCATAGTTCTGCTCATCACAGAATCGGTTTGTAGAAAAACAAATGAGTCCAGCTACTACACTAATCCCTGGGCTAAGGAGTATGACTGGCAGGTTAGGTCAAAGAGGTCAGAAAAACTGAACCCTTTTAGCCTAGAAGAAAAAAGGCTTCGGGAACATTTGGCTCAGGCCCTTAAAATCCTTGAGGGTGCTGATCCAGTCAGGCCAAGAAGCATCCTAAGAATCTATACAGAGGGCAAGAAAAAAATGGCAAAATTTCTTAACAGAAGACAGTGGAGAATAGGAGGGGCTTTTACTTCGATATATTCTCATTTTACACAAAGACGTAGGTGTACGGATTATGTTACCAAGTTTCCATTTGCTGGTTTTCCAGATGCCAAACTGAAACAGATTCCTACTGACTCAGAATTCCACCACAAAAACGTTTTACTTAAAACAAACCTAGCCCAAAACCTATAAACTGTCTGCCTGTGAGATTTCATATTTTTTCTTAATTAAAAATCACCTATTATTTTTCCCCTGGGAGTTAAATTTTAAATTTGGCGATGACCATTTAGATTCATTGCTGCCCTGATCCAGAAGATATCAAAGACATCACACATGATGTCAGGGTTGCTTCCTGATTTTTTTTAACTCAAGTTTAATTTCAATTTTCCTTTAATCAAGTCAAACTCCTTTCATGAAAATGAAATAAACAGGCAACGAACAGAAAGTTGAACTAAACGCTGCATTTCTGCTGTTGGTCTTAACTGCATGCTTTGGCAGCAAGCACCAAACATGGTCAAGAAAGCCTAAACTCTCCAAAAAAACAGGACTGTATGATTTGATTACAGAAAATAAACCAAAAACTAATAACACCTTTAATCGTTTTTTGCAATTCATTAAATTTAGAAAACTTCTGGCAAGCTATTATTTGGTGAAACCATGACTTCTCCTTTCAGCAGTTTAATATACAAAGGTTTTGTTGTCAATTCCCACTTTGTCTCTTTCATGATATTATGAGCACGTGTAAGAAATAGAACATTATAAACTACTTGTTCAACGCTCTTTTGGCAGGGATCCTAGATCTTTTTAATGTCCTTTCTGAGTCATGAATAAATCAGAATGCTATCGTTTACACAAATCAAAGTAAACTGAGTAACAATGTATGGCAACATGCTTATACATCTGAAACCAAGGAATAATAATAATCATTATAATAATTGCTTACACTTATATAGCACTTTTCTGGACACTCCACTCAAAGCGCTTTACAGGCAATAGGGACTCCCCTTCACCACCACCAATGTGCAGCATCCACCTGGATGATGCGACAGCAGCCATAGTCCACCAGAACGCTCACTACACATCAGCTCTCGTGGGGAGGAGAGCAGAGTGATGAAGCCAATCCAATGATGGGGATTATTAGGAGGCCATGACTAGTAAGAGCCAAAAGGAAATTTGGCCAGGATGCCAGGGTTACACCCCTACTGTTTTTGAGAAACGGCCCGGGTTTTTAATGACCACGGAGAATCAGGACCTTGGTTTAACATCTCATCCGAAGGACGGCACCTTTTTACAGTATAGCATCCACGTCACTATACTGGGGCATTAGGACCCAAATGGACCGCAGGGTGAGCGCCCCTTGCTGGCCCCACTAACACCTCTTCCAGCAGCAACCTTAGTTTTTCCCAGGAGGTCACCCATCCAGGTACTGACCAGGCTCACACCTGCTGAGCTCCAGTGAGTTGCCAGTTGTGAGTTGCAGTGTGATATATCTGCAGGAAACACATCTGTAACTTTCCAATAATGGGATAATTAGCAACTAGCATTTTTCATCTAAGCAGAACGTTTGACGAGGAATGTAAATCCAACAACAAAAGGAAAGTCTGCAGTGTTAAAGCGTTATAGAAATAACACACATATGCAGTACACTATTAATGTTTCTGTCTTGATTAACATGTGATGGCTTGAAAGCTCACCTAAGAAGCACCAGCAAATGTCAAAGGCATCAATATTACAGAAGGATGTTAAGGGCACAAAGACTTTTAACATTATTAACACCTATTTATCACAGTGGTTAGTATTGCTATCTTGCAGCTTTGGGGCCATGGGTTCAGTTCCAGACCTGGGCTGCTATATGCATGGAGTTTGTTTATTCTCTAGGTGTTCGTTTGGATTTCCTCCAAATTCTCCTGTTTCCTCCCACAGTCCAAAGACATACTGGCAAGTTAATTGGCTTATGGAAAAACTGGCCCTGATGTGAGTGTGTCTGCCCTGTGATGGACTATTGTCCTGTCCAAGGTGTACCCCACACATTGCTTACAAGGGTTCCTGGCAAATGGATGGTTGGAGTCCTATGATGATAGATTCCTTGATATATCCAAGTGGTTCGTCATAGTTTCTGGAGCTTTAAGCAGAGTACAAGACTCTCTAGGGACTGAAAGCAGGTCCACTGTAGGTAACTTACACAGTACCAAGTCTGACAAGTCTGTGAAATGCCTCTTTCAAACAGCTATCAGCAGCCTTCATACTGGGGCCTGAACACACAAACAACTGATGATGATTCCCTAAACTTTATTCCATACTGAAGAAGATATGAAGAGAGCTCCACAGCCGAAACGTTGTGTCTCATTTCTGTTTCTTATTATTCCATACTGCCATTTGAATTATCTCCTTAATTTCCCATTTTCGCCTGCTAGGCATTTAGAGAAACTCACCTTCTCCTGGTTGAAGGCATCCATTCTGCGCATGGCTGTGTCCAATGCTGTCATGAACTCTTGGAAGGCTGTGTCCTGCTCACACAGTGGGTTACTCAACAGATCAGCAGAGATCTTCACAGCAGACTTGGACATGGCTGAAAGCACACAAAGTCAACATGCTGCTTTCAGAATAAACACAGGCTCACTATCCCCTTGTACCTGCATCAATGTCGACCCCTCTTTAATTGGTTCCTGATATTTACCTTTGAAGACAAAAATTTACAACTGATCATAGTCCTGAGTGTGCATGGCCACCCTTAAAGACATGCTTTGGCTCACGCTTTGCATTACTGCGAATCAACATCCAGGCAATGGTGAAATGTGTGCACATCTAAAAACACTATAACAAAATCAGTGTAGATTTTATTAAAGGTCTGAGAAAGCTGTCAAGTTTTGCTGACATATGTAAATCCTTTTGTCCTTTCAGAAACTCTTCTCGTTTCCTCCACAGAAGTGTTAAAAATGATATGGCAACCCCATCAAGTGCGAGTACCACTGAGTCTGTTTTTTGCATGTGGTTAGTGAGATAAATATCCAACTAATGACATTCTTTGCTCAATGAGAGACTCAATACATGGGGTTCGTCACACAGACCTGTGAAACAGATGTAGTTCATTAATTCAAATTAAGGACTTGACAGCTTATTTACTTTGATGAGGTTTTTCAAACTCAAGTCATGAAATAAAGGAAATTAAAAGAATCCCCACCACCACCCATCTTCCAAGCATTGAGATATAGACCAAACGTGTAAGTGCTGATGGGCTGGTACCAGATCTCCTATCTACTCTGAATAGAAAACAAAAATGCTGCAATTAAATATTGATATTAAAATAAACGGGGACGCCATCTATAAGATAATCTCACAATCTGTGTGACTATCTTCATTAAATAAAGTGTTTCACTGTAATGCCTTTACATGTTAATTTTGCAATCCTCATCATACAAAGCAAAAGTCAAATACTGATGTATTAATAATTTTACCAAGTAGTCCTCACCTTTGGATGCAGGAACCTCCTGGAGTAAAGAAAGCTCAAAAGGTTCCCAAAAAAGCTTTTAAAAATTAACCTTGCAATCACTTTGGTATTCCTTAAGATGAATGACACCATTAACTTAATAACTAGTTTTCTCCTGAAGCCGTTTTTAGCTGTTTTTTTTTAAATATTGCGATACAATTATAACAATAATTATCATGAGAACCGGATTTTCTGTCAGGTCTTCCATCTACAGGTTTCACTTTTGAGCAAGACTTTATCCTTTTCAGATCCAAAGGATGGGATCAGAGAGCTTTACACCTACATTGTGGATGTACTGTAGTGTGCTGTAATAGTGTACTGCTAATTGTGCAAGCGACTATGCTTAATGGTGCTGTACAGTGGTGGGTAAAGTGCACCTGTTGACTTTCCTGCTTGCTGATGAAATAGTACACCTGAACATGCTTTTCCTGGAAAAAACAATGTCATAAAGCCGTTTGGCAATTTTAGCAAAAGGGGCCTACCTAAATCAGCCTCTGTACTTTTCTTCATATCTTTGTGAAGCTTCTTTGTTTGATCTTCCAATCTGTCAATATAAAAAAATTAGAATTCAGAACAAACTTGGAACGTCTAGCCAAGAACTAAACAAAAATGCTGTGGTCAGTCAGTGTACAGTTTTCTTGTACAAACCTAAATTAGCAATACAAAAATGTAAAAATACCAGCCAGCACAAGTGGCTGCCAGTGACCCAGGCATGGCAAAGACATCACCACACCCCCCAGCTGGAGTTTTTAAAGAGTGTCTGCTGGCTACAGAGCTTACATTCCACTGACTGATCTGAGTGCCTAAACTGACACTCTTCAGACACTGCAAAGATTAACCCACCTCACTAAAACAAGGTCCCTGTTGACATGAAAAAATAAATAACTGGAGTCTTGACTGCTGTTGCAAAATGCTTAATTAACTGATTTAAAGCACAAAAAGACCTGATGCACAATTTCTGTAAACACACAGTTTACAAATTTGCCAGTGGTTTCACTTTAGCTATATTCCAAGGAATATACATGAACAATATCTATATGGACTTAAACACAGAAGAACACTAAACCGGAAACACTTTTTTTGAAATGGGATCCATAAAGCTGTGCACTTGAGTGATGTGCAGAAACATCTTTTAAAACAAATTTACACAGACAAGGAACAAAGCAGACTAAAATGGTGTGACAAGATAATCCAACATCAGGATTTTTCCATTTCTGTCTGAAAAGAAACTTGAGGAAGACAACTGAATGACAATTCTGGCACACCCAAGGCGTGGATATATGCCATGTGAAAAACAATGGATTGGGATTCTCATTATCTTTGCTGCTTCTATTAATGGTAATTATTTGAAGATCAGGATTATGTTTTCTGCAAAAAAAAACAATTGTCTGGAAGATTTTCTGTATTTTTTTCAGACAAGTGCTGTTTTGACTTTGCTATAGAGAAGTTAATATAACATTTACAAAACTATACAGGCAGGAATTAAAAACACAACAAATGACAATTGTAACCTATAGCATCTGTTGTGTTTTTAATGCTTCTCAGTAAGAAAAAGTGTAAATTATTTCAATACAAAACAATTGTCCTAATGAACAGGACATAAAGCCCTTGAAAAAATGTGTTTTGTTTTGGAATTCCTCTATTATTGGCAGGTGATTTGCTTTCTTTCATTTGTTTCAATAAGGCGCTAAATGATGCATATTCTTACAGCTGCTCTTTGGTTTAGTGTGAACTCTTCATTCACAAATTTGTCTAACATGTCTAACAAAACTTCATCCCAGTAATAGACTTTCCTAAAAACTGGACAAGCCAATTATTTATGACCCCCTTTGCCTGCTACAAACCTCACTGGATCCTGAGAGAGATGGCAGCAACATTCAAGCATCTTCCGAAACGCACTGAATTAAGCTGTTGACTTGTATCTGCAACATTAGGGCAGGCATATAAAAACTATAGGCCTGTCTTGTCAGAAGAGCCCAAATGCAGCCATTAATATCACAGACAGGCAGATTCGCAGAAGCCCTGTTGTCACCCTGGGGTGGGGTTTCTGTAACAAACCTTTCACAACATCCCTTTCACATGAAAAGATGCCTTTGTTTAAAATCTAAATCTGCTTTACATGTATTACTTCTCCAATAATGAAAAACTGAAACATTTATTCTTCTAATGGTATGTAGAACAAATGATCTGACAGGCACCAAAATGAACAAAACACTATTTATATTCAACTATTTTCTTTTAAAATGACTCTTAACATTTGCTAACTACATAATGGGTCTGAAATCAGTATAGGAACATGATTTCATTTGGAAACGTTCAATTATTTTTGAAAGTTCTAAAACTACTACCAGTTAAGTTTTTCTTCCCTTAATGCTGATCCAGAAATAAGTCTTTGTACTCTTCCCGCTATGCTCTTATAATGCTTCAAAAGGGAAATGATTAATAAATCTAATGCCTCCATTTTCTGAACACTGTATATTTAATTTGTAGCAGTCTTATTACATTGCCGCTGCAGTTAACATTCACTAAATGGAAAACAAATTGTAAGTTGTTTAGCTCCTAGGAAAATGCCTGATGAACAAGTTGTAATTGGGGGTTCTGATATTCAGGAGTTAGCCCACCTCCAATGCATATTTCTACATTGAAGTTAAACCCACTTGTCTGTGTAATTGTCTGTGACTCAGAGACATACTGTGTCAATAAACTAGCTTTCCTATTATTGTACAAATAGGGGATTAAGATTCAAATCTGTTTTTAATATTAGCATTTATATAGCATGTTGCATCCCAAAGAAAACCAAAGCACTTGAATATGAGAGGTGCTGATTTCTTTCAACACTGTGGTATAGATCTAAACTGTCTGCGAGAGCAGCTATGTGCCAGAAGCCTTGCTATACAATCAATTAAGTGAAGAAGTGAGAAACAACTTAATCAGGTTCACTATGGGGCAGATTTAGGGCAGACAGATTATGCAAGAATATAGTGGTATATAGCTAGAACACCCTACTCATAAGAACATTACCATTGAAACTCTAATGTCCAACCGCTCAGGTCCTTTAAAAACCCACCTGAAGAAGAGGGAAGTCTGACACCTACTGGTCCACCAAGGTTACAAAAAACCTCTATGGTGTTTGCTTCATTACCAGCTGCATTTACGTAAGCCAAGAGCTTTTAGATGCAATTGTCAATATTTTCTCAATAGTCAATATGTAGGACATCTACAACCCATTTGTGAGATACAGATGTTTTCTGTACACAAACCTGGGGACGTATTTCAAACCGAGAGCGGTCACTTGCACTTCATGGTTATGCATTTTTTCTCAATAAAAATTTAAACCCCAGATTATTCTTTCTTTATTATATACAAAACGTTTTTGTGTTTCATTACATGGCATTTGTGAAAACCTAAATATAAAACAAAAATTTTTCAACTGCTTTTCTAGATTTTACCCTAGGGGCAACATTTTAAGGAGGAGACAATCTGATAGATCACAACACTAATATGTACAGTGCCTTTTCAGGGAAGGAGAAGTAAGGGGGTAAGATGTGCAACCAAAAGACCCTTTTAACTAGTTTTCCAGGGCACAGGCAATACACTGCAGATTTCCCAGTCAATTTTACACGGTGCAGGCCAAAGCTCTTTTAAGAATTGTCAAGACAGCCTGTACTGGCTCCCAAAAGTCCTTTTTCCACACAGCTGAGTAGTCAAAGCAAGCCATAAGGTTTTGCAACAGCCAACTGTGAATAATCACAGCAACTGCAGCTTGTGCTCACAATCAGAATATTTTCAGGACACACAATTTCACTCAAGTTGACAGAGAGAAAGCAAAGGAGGAGACGCCAAAGTCATGAACCATACGTTTCTAATGTGCAATACGATGACAGCTTCACTGATCAATAAAGATGGCAGAGGAAACAGGGATTACTGTGCCTTTGCAGATTTTCCAACCTTTCTCCAAAAGTAACAATAAGAAAGTCATGCCTTGCCTTAACTGATTTGTCTTACAGTGTTGCCATTAGGAATCCCTAATTAGTGCTTAGCAGTTGGACCACATCAGTGTTCCTTAGAGTGGTCATCTTCAGTCAAGTACACATATGAGAAACACATACACATGTACAAAGTCACGGGCACATTTGTACGCATATATTAGGGATGTAAACACTCTTTAACTTACTTTTGGAGTTTGTCATATTCTCTTTCAAAGTCTCTTTCAACCTGCAAAAATAAAAAATAAAAAAGGCATTAGAGAAGTGAGGATTTTAGTTGGAAACCGGTATGTGTGCATCCTTTTCCAGTGTTCCACTGGCTTGTGTTGCGCTCAATCAGGAAGAACGGATGACCTGCCAGGACAATGGGAGTGACAGCAGGTAGAGACTGACAAGCTGCTGGAAACCACCAAGCCCTACCTGGTCAAAGGAAACACAGCGACTCAGTGTCACGGGACACTGGATCTGGACATGGTGGGCATTCAAGAAAAGGTAACAATATTATCTTAAAATAATAAAGGCAAGAGATTAAGCATATTCATTTTTCAAGGCCAATCACTTCATAATGAGTGTCTGTTATTTCATTTTTGTTCTACAACAAACTGTAACTAACAGCTAAGCTATCTGTCAAAGGCTAATAGTTTGGAAAAGAATTAAGAACAAGCGAAGTGTAAAAGGGCAGTGAAACTGATTGGACTCTTGCCCTTACTCATTTAGGAAGTAAAGCAGTCATCAGATACATTTCCACAAAGCAGAATGATCATTTCACATGGTTGTTTGAGTCTTGTAAACATAGATGCATCAAGGACAGTAAACATCGCAACAGATGTAACATTTATATGGTTATGCGATCCAACTATGGCCAACTGTGGCTCAGATTCTAAACGTTTAAACAAAAAGGAGAAAAGGGATTTAGCCGCTGAACTGCACGCTTGGCAGGGCTGTTTAAAATACCTGCATGGCTGGGCCATGTGTGGGACAGCAGTGGCTGCAAAAGTGAGTGGGTGCGAACTGCTAAAAAAACCACTTCCACTGTAATCTGTCTGTGGCACAGGAGACACGCGGTATGAGTTCCCAGTTTCCTGTGACATCAGGCAGCAAAAAGTAGGACAGAGGGGAGAGCAGGGGGCACTGTGTGGGGGGACTGGGCACTGTTGTTTCGAATTCTCTCCGGCGACAGTGACCAGCTTCCTCCTCCTCCCTCCTTCCTTTGTGTTTGTTTATTCCTGGGCCCTTCCAGCCTCAGAAAGCAGAACCCTGCTGCTAACAGCGGGGCAGGTCCTGTACAATTCAACCGCAAGTGCCCTATAAGACAGGCATTTAGGGATGCAGTTGAAAGCTTACCAAAGGGGTCACAGGAAAAAAAAAAACTGAAAACCAAATTGGGACAAAATTGCTCAAATTGCTCAAATAAGACCAGTGAATGGACCTTAATAAGGTAATGACAACCGGTACCACTAAGGGCTCTGCGCTGATCAGTCAAGTACAGTAAGCAGACACACGTGGCGCTGAGGTCTGAGGTCAGGTTGATTTGGGCACCATGAGGGAGGGGAATAAGAGCCCCCAAGCACTTATTCTTGTTGACGAAAAAGAAGACCCCAATCTGCACTGCTATGGGATGGCCTCACTACATCCTGTTGTTCCTACATAGGCTCACTGCTCATAACTGGGTCTCAAAAGATTTCATTTGCATTTATGTGTAAGTTACACCTGCGAGACTGTGGTATTCTGTTATTCATTCCTACCTCAACTGGCAGGTCAATGTTATATGAAGTTTATGTCTTATAACAATAAAAATGTACAAGTCTGTTGGCAATACTCTGTTGCAAGTCTGTACAAGTCTGTTGCATTGAAAACTAAGCAGCAGGGACCCATTTCTAAAATCCTTTTCCTCTGCTTCAGCTTTGACAGGTTAACATGGCAACTATACAGAGAATTGTATGAACAGCAGAGCTTAGAAATAATAAAAAATGGAAAATAAAATAAAATAAAAATTTTCATAAAATGAAATGACACACTACCTGCTCTCCTTTGTACTTGAGTAATCAATTTAATATTGGAACATATTTTTGTGTACATTAGCAATTGACTGACCTTCTTCCCCCAGAAAAAAGTCTGAAGTATTTCAATCTTTAAAACACATGCATACACCCTTTATTCTTGTTAAAATCCAATAAACAATAAACAATTGCACATTTCCTTTAAGCCCAACTAGCAGATGTACAGTTACATTTTTTTTTCTGAGATATAGACAATGCTGTGTAGTTGTATATTACTTGAAACAGATATGAGTACGTCTCTTTACCCTCTGGAGGACAGAGACATCTACCAATTGCACTGAATTTATACTGTACAGCAAGCTGTGAATTCCTTAGTTGACTCAACAAAACTCAGTCCAAACTTCAGAACTTCTGAATAGACTTGCGCATTCCCAACTATAGGCAGTAAGTGACAGTGAAGGACCTGTGAGCTCCAAACACTTATTATCACTGATATAAAATAGGTGAGGACCTGGATCAGTTACACTACATCAGAGATCAAAGCCCTCCTTGCTTACCGTCTTTGAAACAATTTGCTTCTTCGGTTGACCGATCTTGAATGGAATCCTAAAAAAACACAAAACAGTGATGGAAAAAACAATATTAATGTTTAATAATATATTCTCACTTCTTCATTTGATGATGAGACTATTTATTAGTTGATTAGTTTATTAGTTGATTTAGTTCAATTCAATAGAGTTTCTAAATGTTTTGTTCAAAATGTTTTGTTTATCTCTCTGACTGAGCTTATAAGATCATAATATTAAAAAAATATGAAAAAAGCCAAACCCCTAAGTTTAATGTCTTTAAGATGTCTAAATCAAAATTCCTAGCAATAAAAGCTGGCAGACAAATTCATATTCCCTGAAATATATGAACTAAATGTAAATTACTGCACTGCATCCAAGCAAGATGTCAGGGATATACTGTATAGAAACGTTTGTAGAGGCACAGCACAAGCTATACCTCCTTGTAAAACAGATTTTTACAAATAGCCTCATGGCTGGAATTCATCACTCTTCTTGTGATAAAGCCTACAAGAGCAGCAGAAATGCCTCAGAATTACAGGGCTAGGTAGAACCAACAGTACAATACTTATTTGCTTTGGAAAGGCAGTAAGATAGCAACAGGCACTTGCCAAGACAAGGCACACTTAATTGCCTGCCAAACCCTTTTTTATACTTTAAGTCCAATCACTACCCTTGTGTACACTACAGAATTCAAATGTAAAGCATATCAAAACACTTTAGTTAAAATAATGCAAAAAGGGGTTTTTCCAATATGATCTTAACACATTCCAGGCCATATTTTCTAGTATTGTGTAGAACATGTGCAATAATGTATATTCAGCAAATTACACATCTAGTAGGAATTTCTAATACATAAAATCCACATGCGTTTCAGCTTTCGATCATCTTCGGTGTACTATGGTCATTGATTTTATAAAGTTTTCAAATCCTCCCCTCCCCCCGGCACCAGCTAAATAAGGTTCATAATGCATCTAAACAGCTACTCCAAAAATGTACCATGTTGTAACATACCATCAGATGTACTATAAATTGACTTGCAGCCGGAGACATGTCTGACAGTTCTTCTGCTATTGACCTATGAAATTCCTTTTGTGACCAGCTAAAAAAGTGCATATTCAAAGCAACTGTGCTCTTTAATATGACGTTTTGAAAATCACCTCGATTCACTCTGTCCAGAAACAATCTGGTGTGGCTATAACAGTGAGAACCGAATGAAGCACTGTGGTTAAGACCTCTATACTTCTAGCAGGAGGGAAAGAGCCAGAGTCTGAGGTGTCTGAAACGGAGACCCAGCCTCATTGACCTTTAACCTCCCGAGCACACTTAACACTCGCTGCTGGCTTCCTGTCACCACACCTCACATCTGCTTCTGATTTTTTTTTTTATAGGATGTCACTAATTAGAAGTGTCTGTCCTTTCTGCCCAACAGCCCTGATCTTCAAGCTCGGTCCCACATGCTGGAGCTATCAACCACCGCTGATTGTTTCAGCGCTAAACCGCACGCTGTGCAAAGCATCTCCTCTTCCCTTTGCTTGCCTCCACAGCGCACAGGGCTCAGCTTTCAAAAGACTTTCTGAACCCTTCCTCACAACCTCCCTCCATCGCCCTTAAATCTGGAGACTGTTACTATGACAGCACAGTATTGCAAAGTATTAGGTTATCCACAGTCTTAGAAATTATGTCAGAGTGGACAGTTTTTTTTTTCAAATTGTTCATCTTGTTTTTTGCATACACTATAAGCGTTGGGTAACATGGCATTGATAGTTTTGCCAACATTTTAAATCTGTCATCATTTTCTTTGCAAGACTATTAGACGATGAATTCCTGTGGTATTGAATGAATATGCAGCAGCTTACCAGCAATTGTAAATGTAAGTCAGTGATTATGCGATTCCTTTTTCACAAGAGGTGAAATGTATTTTAATTTAAAATCACATTTTTACAGTTCAGAACACCTCAACATTGTTGAAACTTTTCTGCATTGCTCTGCCAAAGAGAGACATAAAATCAAAACCAGTCTTTGTGCAAGACGACTAACAAACAGGATACCTTTTTTAGAAGACCTGACTATAAACAATGGAGTGTATACACTATCTGGCTCAGTAAAACCATGGGTCTGCAAAATATTATATATAACCTCCTAACAGTTACTTATACAAGTATATACCCATTAAATGAAAATAAAAAAACTTTGAAAGATGAAGATGTCCAGCCTTTCCAATTTTTTTCTCTATCAATGCAGAGAAAGCATCTTCTGATAAAGTGAACTCCATAATTTTTCAGTGCATTTTCTGCAAAGCTTCCCTGATGATCATGTTGAAATTGATACAATATTTAATTTAATAGTCCCAAAGAAAGCTTCAAGTATTAAAGAACTGTGCTAAAAAGAAGATTTTTGCCTCTTTTCAGTTTTAAATCTGCTTAAATAAAGTGGATGTATTTCTGAGTATCTTGCTTTCCATGCATTCTAGGCATTCTACAGCAGCAAATCTAAGTGAAATACCTTACACAAAGGTACAAATGTAGTGCTCCACCTAGGATTTGAACCCACAGACTTCCAGTTAAAAACTCCAGAGTCCTGTATTCCTTACATCTCCACTACTACCTTAAGAGATACTGGGCAGCCAGTATGTCAGGAGTGATACCCAAACCCACACCTCCAGAAGAGAGTGCACTTCTGACTGTTCTGTTATGACAGACCTTCTGTGTCCTCTTAATACTTATATAACCCACATCTGTAGACCCACGGATGTATTATGGTAAACTTGTCACCAAAATAAAGGTCATTCTTCACTGCAATAATCATAATTAACATTGCTAACTCATGCCATGTTGAAAGATGTGCCCTGAGACATCTATAAGTGAACACAGTACTCAAGATACATTAGCACTAAAGGATTGTACAACTACAAAACAAACTAAAAAACGAAATAACATTATAGGAAATACTGAATGATAACTGAAAAAATAAATGACAAACTGTTGTATATACTTGGTATAATCTACATTAATCTGCCTTAATGTTCTTAATTGTGTTGAATGCACTTTGATTTTATATTAATCTTGGTATTACCATTGTTCTGAAAAAATAACATGCTCTGAAAATCCTGTAGAGTTAATTACTACAGCAGAAGAATAAACATAGACCCCAGAGTAAACTGACTAAATTTATATTAGCCAATTTTAGATTTAGCAGCACAAAGCATGGAAGTCAAAACCTCATGTTCGGGTAGTGAATTAGAAATGAAAACAGCAATGTAAAATTACTTAACGGGGTGCAGCACCTCCATGTCCTGCCAGCACTGCCTGTATGTGTCATGGAATAGAATCTACCAGCATCAGGAATCCTGGATGACGGATTCTTTCATGAGAAAGGCAATCAACTCAGGCCTCCATCTCAGGCGACATTCCATTATCTCCCATAAATGCGTGGCATACGGATAACATTAGTGCCATGTTCTTCATACCATTGGGCGACCACACAAGCTCTGCATATGGGGGCACTGTCATCCTGGGAGACACCCTCCCAGCAGGACAGAAATACTGCAACATGGGAAGAACACTTCAGAAAACCACCGAAAACCTTCATTGTTGGAACCAAGCACTGAAGGCTGTATGGCTCTTTAGGGTGGCACCTGTGCACTCATCCTTTTGTCAAGATCATGATGAAGAATGATCCACCTGACCTGATCACATTTCGCCACTGCTCAGTAGTCTATTCCCTGTGCTCTTTGCTCCACTGGACACATAAAAACGCACTGTCAGGTGTGGTGAGCTGTTGATGCACTTCAGCTCAACTACGGCAATCCACTCTGTGCAGTTCTCAGCTAAAACATTCTGAAGAAACCGTCAGTTCACACCCCAAATGGAAATTTACAGTCAACTGATCTGTAACAGCTTGCCTTTTTTGCCTTGCACTTCGAATGGATGCACAAGTATCTCGATCCTGGTAGTACGTGCTTCTGCCTACAATCCCTTTTATCGGTCTGCCTTGTCTCAACCGGTTTAGGATGACACATGAATGCTACGCAATGCCTCCTTTGTCTCCAAGTTTCTGCAACTGAATATAAAGAAAGAATGAATAGTGCATATCATTGTATGGGGGCTGTGTGGGTGCAAGATGTTCATCCTCAACTTTAGCCTATATTTATTATTTTTATCTCACCAAATAGTAATACTACTTAAGAGAAATTAAGATATTTTTAGAATTTGGTTGATTTTTGAAACAATGAAAATGATCAAAATGAAACTTCTTGTTAGTGTACACTGCAAACTACTTTATGCTAAAAAAGAAATAAGCAAGAATAAACTGCAATCAGCTATTTTGGATTCTCTTGCTTATGTGACCACTTCAGCACCACCTGACGGAGAGAGAGAATGACTAGAGTCTAATCTGACAAACCTATATAAGTGAACCCCAATTATTCACAAGCCAGAATGACTTGGGTACCTCAGTGCCAAGTGAACTCTGACCCAAATCTTCCTCTCTCAATTAATTAGGTAAAAAAAATCCCTTCTTTCATTACTGATCACTTTAACTGTTCTCAACTAAAAAGTCTTGCTTATAAAAATGTACAGATCTAAGACACTTCATATTATGTTCTTACACATTCTTGGTGTCATTGACGCCAATGCCACTGAATGTTGCATTCTCTGAGACTACTGAAAGGTTACTTCTCACATCATTGCCAACAATCAATACAAAGCACTGCATTAGTAATATGTGAATAGTAATGTAACACATTTACTACAGGATGTATAAAGGGTTTGTTATCCCTTTCATGAACAGTTTTTGATATGGGTGTCCATGCAGTTCAACGTAAGTGAATCAGGGTACAGTATGGAGGTGTGAGAAACAATGAAGTACAACAGTTTTATAAGGTATCAAATTTTACATTTCCTGTGAACTTGTAATCTCGCAGTAAAACATCACAATTTTCCCTTTAATCTTTGTTGCATATTGATTCTTCAACAAAATCATAAATCGGAGTTGGATGTCATCCTGTGACCAGGGAAAACCCTGAACTTCCTCGTGCTC